AATAAAATTATTAAATGAGAATTTATATTAATATTTACCCTAAGGCAGAGCTAATCTTTGAAGTGAAGTCTTCTGTTTCAAGTGGTGTTAACAATCAAATGCCAAATAGTATTAGGAGGTACAAATGAGTACTTTTATTTATCTCGAGATCATTGGTACATAATGTAGATTACACAAATATAAACATAAAGCTTAGCAATCATTAAAACTGGATTTGAGATGTTGCACTTTCTTCAAAGTCTCCCTGTTCATTTCTCTATTGCTTAGGTACTGGTTTGTTTCAGTGTTTGTAAATTGAAATGTTTTCTGGAAGGAAGAGAGGCTGTAAATTTTAAACAAAACTCTAATTAGTGTGGTAACACAGTGGCAGAGTCCAAAGAGTTACATTATTAGAGGTGAACCCTAACTGTGATCGTGCTATTTATGTAACTTGCCCAACTTAAGACATTTTCTATCTGTCTGGGTCATTAGGTTGTTCTTCTAGTAAAACAACTGGTATCACATGTAAAATTTGAATCCTGAAGGGGACCCATTTCTTGGCTTTTTATTTGTGGCTTAAGTTTAAATTCTTCTGTCCCTTTAGATAAACTAGTTGGTCGTATTTTCAAAAAAGAGATGACACTTTTAGAGGTTGTCATCGTATTTTGAAGTCTCTTCCTTTCTGTTGTGTTGATTTTTCCCTTGAACATTTGCTAGTTTGGAGAGGTGCATTCAGATAATTCTCTAGACCAGGTGGCTGCCCAGGTGATGCACCTTCTCTTTACAAGGATGGGATAGCACTGTCTGCTCTGTGGGAAGAATTGGATGATGTTTGTCCCTTTCCTTCAGTTATTTGTGATAAAGAGATCAGCCTAACTTCATCTCATACATAAATAATGTTGGCATGTTTGCTTCATGCTGGCTGTTTCTTCTAATGCATTCTGCTCTGGTGTGTGTATTTTGATTTAATCTTCCAAATATTTTTCCGAAATGTGTCATTCACATCTGCCAGCCATGCCTTCCAAATACAGGACTCCTCCAGTTTTGATGGTTAGTGGTTTAATTTTAGAAGTTTAACAGTTCTGCCTCCTTACTTGAAGATACTTAAAAAATACATTAAATTTGCCCATTTTCCTCTGAGATTTCAATTGCAGTAAATGTCACTGTATGATGTGATGTAGGCAATTTTAATTTGTGTCTTAAGAAGAACAGTGTTTGACACGTACTTAGACTGGAGGCTGAGAGATTTGGGACGAACTTAGTCATCTTTTTCCTTTGAAGAGCTCTTATCATCCTTACCCAAACTGGTGATGGCTTTAGATTTACCCAAGATTTGCAGTTCTGTGGGCTAATGATGCTTACACAGAATGACAGCAGAGGGAGAGCGTGGAAACCTGGAATTGTTCTCTGCTGGAGGGCCTATAGGAGAGCAGATCATCCAAATCAGGGGATGGTGGTAACGTAGGTGATGTGCATCCCTGGCAGCTGGAGCCCTTGGACACTTGCAGAGTGTCTGATGTCACCTACATTTCTAAAACCAGAGGCAGGAATATCCCCACAGGACACTTGCTGTAGGGAGCAGGGTAAGTAGCACGGGTGTGGACTATTTCAAGATGGTATAGAGAAGCAATAAATTAAGTATTATTGTGCATTTCATAGTAAGCTCAGTCCTGACACTGATCAGATATGCTCTGAAGGCACTTCTGCTATAAGCAAAATAATCAAAATATCCAAGTGAGGTGAATTTCTCAGTTTATTTACACAGAAGTACAAGGAACACAAGCAAGAAACTTAATATATATTGACTTTAGTCCTCTTTTGAATTTTTACTTTCTAGTAATTTTCCAAAGAAAAGATGGATTTTTACTGGCTTATGACATTAGAAAAAAATGCTGGTATCCAACCAAAAGCATACTTTGTGATATTTGTACTTTTGTGTGCAAATATGAGAGGCTGACTTTTTTTTTTTTGTATGGTTTATCTGATTCAATACATTTACTCTATCTCAGTTTTCTAAGTCTGTACATAAGAAACCCCATGTATTTCTAATTAGGTAGTTAACTTAGAATTAAGATTTATTTAACCTCTGGTTTGAGTAGAAATTCTTAATTAATTGGAAAAAACCCCAAACCTCAAAATCACTTCTTTTAGTTAGCTCTGCCCGAGGAATTAAAAGGAGTTAAATTACATGTATTAAAAAGGTTTAACAAGGCATCTTTTGAACACAGCTCCCCTTGTAAGCAGGGAAAGTATTCATCATTCAGTACATCAGAAACTCTCTCTGATGTGTGAGGTCCTTTAGCTGTGCAAGGATGACAGTTACTAATACTGTTTTTTAAACATTGATTGAAGGAGAAAACATTTCCTTATCCACTATAAATGATCTGGCTGTTAAAATGAACTACACAAACCAAAATAAAGAGTTTTCTCTGCAGCCCCAGAAGAGGTGATTGCTGTCAAAAGCTGCTTTCAACACATCAATATACCCTGTTTTCAGGTCTTCTTCTGGTGACTAAATTCCATTTTAATGGACCTCTCCCTGGTAGCAAGCATGACCTGGCTTAACATGACTTCAACATTCTTTTTGATTATTCTACTACTTTATACTGGGCCTAGGCCTTAACATCTGTTGGTCTTCTTTCAAAGGTAGTACTAAATAGGGAGTTTAATTGTATGTAGTTTTTAAATAACATTTAGTATATTTTAATCCTCTGTTTTTATAAGAATCTTTATAAAAGGCAATACTTTGGAGTAACTGTGGCTTATTTTGAGGGTTGAATGAGATGTGTTAGATTTTAGTCATATGTGCTTATTCAAAAAAAAACAAACTTCAGAGCAAATTAGAAACTGTGACAGAGTAAACTAACACCACTGATTGTTCTGGAGACCTTTAAAGGCTTTTTAGCCTGTTTTGCACTGGTGAAAAAAAGTGTATATCCAGCTCCTTTGCAGAATTTGAGTTGTCTGTGGCTTTTCATCAACTATTCAAAGCATTTTCTTTAGTACCAAGTGCACAGCTAAGCTAACCTGGCATCTGGCTGTCTGCAGGAGAGGTGGCCTCACTTGTATTTTCCCTTCTGCTGGTTGAAGCAGATTAACTGGCCAAAACAAACCAAAAGTCCCTAATCCTGCAGAAAAGCTTGCTGAGAAATCAAATGATAGCTAGTGCTGGTGGAGACAGAGGAGGGGACTGCTGTTTTTGGTGGCCATTGTGTGGGACAGTGCTTACCTGTGTTATGGAACTGCCCTCTCTTCAGCAGCTGTGCCTGCTCTCCTTCCCTAAAGCCCTGTGTGAACCTGATTAGTTAGTAAATCACAGTGAGTGTGTTCTGTGGTGTCATGTATTAAATAGTTGGAGAGACATGATCTGAAATGGTTTAATTCACAATTGTTGCCAAGACATTTGAAGGAAATAAGAACTACTTAGGTCTGTTCATTCCAGGGAGGGGAATTGAATATGGGGTGACAGTCTGGTTAGAGGTCATATTATCATTTATTGCTTTGAAGAGCATGTGCAAACATCAAGGTTAAGGTAATTACAGAATGGTCATGTTCTCATCCCTTTTAATTCCTGGGCCTTTAAAATAAAATCCACCAAGGTGAAACAAGAACCTGGGCAAGGAGTAGAAGCTGAGGTTAATTTGAACTTGAACAGATTGAGGCAACCCTCCATTCTGTCTGTCATTATCAAAGGATTAATTTGCTTTCTGGTGTGGAATGAACAGAAACCTTTATTTAAATACTGAAATAAGAATTCTGTGAAGACCTGTGTGGACTCTGAGCTGTGAAATGACAGAAGTGTAGCACCTGCAGGGAGAAGGAGTGACCTGTCGCAGCACATACATCCTTCTTGTAGCAGCACAAGGATTGGAATAAGGGGCTTATCACGGAGAAAGTACATGCACAGGGAAAGCCTGACATCTGGCACATACACCCAGAGATTTTTAATGTGTGTGGAGGGGTTGCCTTCGTGCTGAAAAGGGAGAGTCGTGAGTCTCGGTGAAAAAAACGTGACTGAAAAAGCTTTGTTTCTTCACTCACCCCTCCCAGCAAATTGCCTGAAAGAGGATCATACACAGTGGTGCATCATTCCTTTTATCTCCCAGTATGACTCACTGAGCCATACATAGCAGCTCGTCTTTTGAGGAGATTTCTTACTCAGAGAAAGCTGGATGTGGAAACAAATATTCAGCGTCAGACTGTTAATGTCACTTTTGCATTAGAATTCCTTCCATGAGAGATAAAAATGGCTTGGCCAGCAATGCCTGTATTAAGCAGGTATTGTGAGGTTAAAAATCCTCATTAGTTTTCTCCTGATTCAGTGCTGTTATTTTTATAATATTCATATATTTTCAGGCAACAGGAATGCTTGTTGATTGCATTAACAAATTCTTGGATATTTTAATATTTGGATTGCTGGTAATGCAAGGTACCAGGTAGCTTTTGGAACATGCTTTAGGCCTTTTCTACTCTGTTTTTGAGAGCTTTCTCCCTATTCTGCCCAGTCATGCCCCAAATAAATTCTCCGGCATTTCTTTCTATTCATTTTTAGCTGTTAAGAAACTGATTGTGACATCCAAGTATGGCTTGTAGCATTGATTCCCTTTAAGATTCTTCTGTCCTCCTTTCAGAAAAATTGGCTTTCTGGAATACCAGCAGCATCCTCCCTCAGTATTTTGCATTAATTTAGTACCTGAGAGATATTTTCTTACCAAGAAAGGTTCTCTTCAGGGTTTCAGTGATTGCTGCTGGACCAGCCCATCCGTCCTTATCCCCAGATGAACTCCAGCCTGAGGATCCAGAGCTCTGTTTTCCTGGTGCTGTTGCCAGCGGCACTTCTGTTCCATGTTGGTTGCTGTAGTAAAGCACTTTGCTGTTTGTGTATGTTGCATGTTTGTTGACTCAGCTTTCAAGATTTTTAAATATGCACTGGAAACTAAGAGTACTTCCTTGTGTTTTGTGACATCGGGAAATTAACGAAGCTGTGTTAGTAAAAGAAATATCCCTGTGTTCTGTTACAGGTTTTGGGATTTGAAGTTGATACGGTGAACTCTGTCCAGTTTTCAAACCACACAGGTAAAAATTTACAGATACTACTCCACAGTCACTCAGCTCTGCTCAACACGTGGCTCAACTCATCCCATGGCAGTGGAGAGGAGATTGGCCTTATGTTTTTGCTCACATTTTCACGATATAGCACGAAAATGTAATTTTCATGTTTTGAATAAAGTCTCTCTGAGGTCTGGATTTGGGAGTAGGGAATGATATGAGGTGGTAATGTCCTAATCTGCCCTTCAGAGTGTGAGTTTCTCTTTGTTAGGCAGTAATCTAATTAACTCAGACAGTGAAATAACACAAATAAGGCCATTTACACAGCCAGGCCTGTGAATGAGGGAGTCTTCAGAATGGTTTTCTGTATGACAGTTATAATCACATTACCAACCCAAACATCAGAGAATACTGAGATAGACTCAGTGTTTCCTATCTTTGTGTGCCTACCAAGATGGCTAGCAAGTATCCTAAAATTTGGAGGGAGGATGTTAATACATTTGGGTGTTTTTTTATTTTTTTATTTATATGATGCACTCACATAATACTTTCAGACTTATTAATATTCAGAGTGCTAGAGAACTTTTATCTTTTGAAAGAAAGATGAAATTTATGTTTATTTTAGCAATACCTTTCACCCAGAAAGGAGCTCCAAGTGACTTGCTGTTTCTGGATCAAAAGGGACATATTTACTGTCTTGGTGGTGATGAGTTGTTTGAGGGGAGATCTACTCTAGATAAAGACATTCTACAGGTGTCTTAAGAAGCAAATCCAGACTTAAATATCTTGAAAAAGAGAAAAATTTGTTTCTGACACAAAAAAAACCAAAAAACAAACCCAAACCAAAACCAAACCAACCAAACAAAAAAACCCCCCACAAATGTACTTTCTTAGTATCTCACAGGAACAGCTGTGTTAATAAACTGCTCATTTTTGGAACAGAGAGCAGGCAAGGAAGCCTCTGTCTTCTCTCACCGTGTTGAGCTCCATGCAGCTTTCAAGAGATTATAAGATGCCTATCATGGAAGGAATTTAGTGTCAACCTGGGAAGAAGAAATTAATGTTTCAAAGGTAGCTTGAAAGCCATCTCTGTTTGTTAAGGAAAGGCACAAAAGAGGTAATAATTAAACAAGGGGGTGGGTGCCTTTCCTGGCTCAGTCAAAAAGCTGCTTATTTTTCTTTTCCCCTTTGGCACAGTACAAAGGTTCTGTCATGTTTTTCAGAGGTACTTAGGTGTAACTTCCATTTCTTTAATGTGTTTAGGTTTGGAGTTTGGGATTTTCTGTTGTTTGGTTTTGGTAGCTGGGTAAAACTCCTGTGATCTTCCAGAAATTAAGCAATTTTTTCATGTTAAATAACTTGGCTCTTAAGGTGCGTGAATACATGTTGTTTGTTGGCTTTCAGTTTCAAGATTAAATCAGCTTTACAGGGCATTAAAAGAGCTTAGAAGAAGTTTTACTGACCATAAACTGAATGTGTCTGAAGGTAGGAAAATTACATTACCAATAGGATGAGCAGGTTCTTAAAACAGAAAAGAAAGAAAATTTTTAAACTTTTTTTAATGGTATCACAGCTGGAGAAAGGAAACCAGTGTTTCATTCAAGATTTGGCAGACATTGGAGGTAGTAGAAGGGTAGTAGATAGTAGTGAGTAGTAGAAGGGTCTTCCCCCAAAAGAAGACCTAAATGAACATCCCAAACCCCAAAATGTCTCAAAGGTCACAAGTCTGTAAAATATAAACACCAGGAACTAGTCCTGGTGTTTAGCAGTGACATTATTTCTTTTTTTTTTTTTCCTGTAATCTTGATTGTCTTAGAAAACGTGTTTAAAAAAATCCCAAAGGTTACCGCACAATCTCATGGCTTTGGGAAGCAGAACTTGTGTCTGGAGCGGTGCTACAATACACAAGCATTGTGTGCTGGGTGAATGGGTGAAGGCAACTTGATTTTCCTATAAAAACAAAATCTTATGAGAACCCTTTCTGGTATCCTCATTAAAGCTGAAGGACAAATTCCTCCTTCAAAATCTAGCTGTGAACTGTAGTTTCTGAGAGAATGCCACATACCGGAGGAGCACAGGTAGAAAAGTCTGTGAGGTTTTGGACATGGTGTTCTTTCTTTCCTTCTTTCCCTGTTTTTAAACTTGGTCCTGGCAGCAAAAGATAAAATGCAGAGAGAATTTATGACTAACAGACTTTCTTGGGTGAATCATTATTGCTCTTTTTTTGCCCTGTCTTTAAATTAGTAAGCTACCACGGGCAACTTTCTGCTGACTCCTGCTCAGAAAATTCAGCTTTCTTTAGTCTCTGATAATCCTGAAATTTGGAAAATGTGCTTTAAATCAGTCCCCCTGGGAGAACAGTTTGTCATGTTGCTTCGTGAGGATCTTTTGTGATTAGAGTGACTCACACTTGAATGGCATTGTGCTTCATGTACAAATAAAAGAAGCTGTCATGCAGCCTACAAAGACTGTGCTTTTTATTCTATTTTACTGTACTATTTGCAGAAGCATTTCATTGTCTGATGTGCAAAAATTAAAATCTAGATTTTTTTTTTTTTTTTTTAATTCTGTTGTCGATGTTTTGGGGTGCATTTTTAATTCCTCAGGGATTTTCATTTTTGTTTTTCATTGGTAGGTTACCAGCAAGCATATAATGTGCTTACTTTGCTGTCCAAATCCTACCTTTGAAACTGCTCTGGAACAAAGAGCCCAGGGTTTTTTTTTTTTCCTGTTCCTTTTTATTTCTAAGCACTTTTTTTGACTTCCACTTAGTGGGTGTGTTGTGGGTGGTTGGTTTGGCTGGTAGGTCTAATACGTGATAAATTATAATTATGTCTTGATGTGATTCCTCATAGTCTGCCACCCATATGCAGTCACTCACACCTGTGTGTGCAGGGGCAAAAAGAAAAGATCTCCACTCATGCCTAACACTGCTAGTATTTCACTCCCACACTGCCCAGCTGTAAAAAATCCAGTGGGGAATTTGGTACTGTATTTCTGTTTTTGTTGAAGGCCTCCTGGTAGCTAAAGATTAGTCATATGTTTAGACCAGGTTGTCTGCCAGAGTTTACATGTGAATTTTGTGACACTGCTGGAACCAGACTGCCTGTCCATCATGTGCCTTAAACACTTGATCTTTCTTCCTTTTTCCCATGTGAAATACTTGGGTAGTGAAGCCACTTGGAATAGTTTTGCAGGGAGCACCACAGGAGGAACTCAAACCTCAGAACAGAGTGTTCTGGGTTGGAAAACAAAGAAATCTTACACGCCTTGCTGTTATGAAATGGTAGCTTAATTTTTGTTTTGCTGTGTTGCTTGGTTGGGTTTTTTTGTTCCTTCTGATATGCTTGGGACTCTTATTTTCTTTCTAACTTGGTTTTGAAAGTAATTAAGAGGATTATAAATACATTCCAAAAGAGAAAAAAAGTACCAGTGGAGGAAGGCAAGACAAAAAAGTGTGTAAATTCATCTTGGGTGTAGTATTAGCTACCTCTCTGGGTTGTGGTTTTGTTTTTTTTTTTCTTTTTCATACAGATGAACCAAGATATTTCCCTGGAGACTGATGAATACATATGTCCTTTTAGAGGGATAAGTGACATAAGTCATGATATCTTACCTGTTTTTCATTCCCTTATGTGCTAAAACCAAACAGATAATTGCAGTAAAAGGTCATAACACAGATAAGCAGAAGGGGTATAAAGTTGTTTAAATGCTTGTGCTCTTGTGTGTGTTTAAAATTACTTACAAATCTGGGAGACTAATGCAGTTAGTCTGAGCCAAGTGGTCTTTTGGAGAGCTGGATCATGATTTGCAATGATCTCTCTGTTCTCTCAGTCCAGCACTGAGGGGAATTATTTGGTGGTTTTGCACATAAAACAAGGAAGACACAGGGAAGACCAGACCCCTTTCAAGATAGTCCCTCTTCCTGGGACCCCAACTTATCCATTCTGCAGTTAGTGAAACACTTTTTGAACATTAGTAACTGGCTTTTCCTTCTGTCCCTCTACAGAAGCTGATTTTTGGTTGTATATTCCACGAGGAGAGCAGGATTAATGCAGGATCACGGGGTTTGCAGCTTGTTCATCATGTTACATGACATTACCCTGGGGAAAGGGCTCAGGGTGATTTCCATTTTGCTGCCAGTTTTGATTTTGTTTGTTTCTTCTTACTCCAGCATAATTCAGTTCCTAGTGAAATCACAGTTCTCTGCAGATCCAGTGAAGGCATTCGCCTTTTTTTTTTTCTGTCTGAGTAGCTGGGGCTTCCCTGAGAGCTTCCCTAGGGTTTTGTTTTTCCCCTGGCTGTTGTGTGATTAGACTTTAGGTTGTATTACACTTTACCACGTAGTAAAAAGGCTCCTTTAGAACCTTTGGAAGTCATTGCTACAGAGTTCAATGTCCCTGCCCCGTGTGGGTGAGTTACCAATTCCTGAGCTAAGCTGGGCTGCTGCCTAATATTGTGTTTCCACATTTATTTCTTCCCCTCAGTGGAGGGATCAGTGTGACATGAACCCCGTGCATTGAGTATTTAAGGCAGCTTGGTACAGACAGCTTGACACAGTCATGTGAACTCTTAGTTAAATGGTGAATTTGTAGGGGTGCCTCCTGAGAATATCTAGATTGTCTGGGCAATCTATCATATTTATATTTATGGCCACGTGTGAGGCAAAAATCTGCACTTTTGCCAGCAGACCTTGCTTCTGGGTGAAAAGTGCACCCAGTTTCATTCATGGCCACAGTGGAAGGACCCTGTTGTGTCCCTGTACTGGCTTTGCAGTGCTACAGAGATTCAAGGAAGAGGAGAGGACAGATGATTTCTCTCTGGCACTGCAGGTGTGACAGAACAAACATCTGCATATGTGTTAATTAACCAGCTCCTGGGGTTAGGTGTAGTCAAGGGTTCCTCATACAGTCAGGGGCATGAAGAACTAGAGGTGTGCCTGGGTGTTGACTGTTGCAGTTTTGAATATCACTGTCTTCTGCTATGAAACCACAGCCCTGACATGTGGAAATCCCCTACTTTGTCCATTTCTTCACAGAGACTTTGTGGGAGGCATTTGCCTGGGAGAGAGTGGTGGTGGCTGATGTGAGTCAGGCCCCCAGCCAGCTGGCAGCGAGTCGTGTTTTAGAGGCTTGGCCTTTGTGAGCTGAGGAGAACAAAATGATCCATCTGCTCACCATACTGTGGGTGTATTTGCATTCATAAGAAGGGAAAACTGAAAAATGTGCTTAGACTAAGCTCCAGGCACCTTTTGGCAGTTACTCTAATAACACAGTTTAGAGTGATAATCAAAACCAACAGTTTTTATCACAGAATTGCCTAACTGCAAGAGCAGAAGTTATCACACAGGGGTGGTATGGAAGAAGATACATGATTTTAACATTTCACTTTTCCTAATTCCAGTTAATAAAAAGGTAAGCTTTTTAACAACCTCTGATTTTATGGAAGTTGGGAGAGTTAAATCGTGGGTACTTCATCTAAAATCCTGGAGGAAGCCCCACTCTTACATATAGGGAAGGGATTGGTGCCACCTAGATGGGCAGTAGGCTTTGACAACAAGGTGCAAGGTGCATTTACATTTTTCAATAAATATTTAGATTCTGTTAAGGGAAATTATTTTTCTTTTCCTTGAAATTGGCTTCCATGGAGCTTGGTCCACTTTGCTGAAATCGTTTCAGCTTCTCCCGAGTAACTTCACATTCCATCCTCTTCTCGGCTGAGAATATTGGCTTGTAATTCTTAAGAGATCATTCAAGGATAAGAGTGTATGGATATTATTTGTCTGTTTATAGTGTCTTTCTGCTACTCATTTCCTCCTCCAGGATTCTCAGTACTAAAGCTGTGCTATTTTGGGAAGAAAATCTGTCAGATGACATTATATGTCTCTTCGTTACATGCAGGTCCCAGCAAGCACCACATCTGATGGGGTGCAGCAGTGCTGCATATCTCGGTATGGACAGATCCACAAGCCTGTTAAGCTTGTCATCTAACTGTCAATTTTCTCTTTTTTAATATAGTATAAAATAACAAAGATATGTTGTGCTGACACCCTCCTCCAGTGAAGCCTAAAACATATGTTTGTCACCCTCCGCACAGGAAAGGGGTAGTTGCAAAGGCTCCATGGGAAATCTTGCAGGAGCTTGTGTGTTCTCAGCTTGATTTGCTGGTAAATGGACAGTCTCAAATTGCAGTGTAGTCATTCTTTGGGAGACAGAAGTGCTAAGAAGAAGCTGAGCACATCCAACTGTTCTGCTGACAGCAGCTTTTATTTGGCAACAGCATTTTACAGAAGAGGTGAAAATGCTTTTTGATGCTGATAATTGATGTGGTCCCTGCAAGTGTATAATGTGTGATCTGAGATAGAAAATCCAACTCTTGAAAAAAAATTATCTGGCATTTGCTTTGCAGGTTATGCCCACTGGAAGGGTCAGGTGTTGAATTCAGATGAACTTCATGAACTGTATGAAGGACTGAAGCTGAACAAGGTCAACCACTACGATTATGTACTCACAGGTGAGATGAGCTGCTTCCCTGGAGTTCTCATGAGATGTAAACAGAACTAAAGAAATATAAACCATATCCCTCCTTATTGCAAACCATGCAATTAAAATTTCCCTCCTTTGGTTCCTCCTGCAATTTCATCTGTATATTATAGTCCCAACCTCTTGTGCTGTTTAACTTGGAACAGCCAGAGCTCTCCAGCCTGCAGGTTGTAACTGGGTGGGTAAATTGATCCCCTTGTATAATTTACAGACTTGTACAGGCCAGTCATGTGCAGGCATACAGTCATGTTTTGGGAGTGCCTCTACTGGAAAAAAAGGATGAGGAGTGTCAGAGTATTATTTTAAAATTTATTAGGAAGACACGAGTTTAACCCTTTCTCCTAAATCTGCAGCACTGGCACTCTGTGCTACTGCAACATGATTTTATGCAGAATTGTATGTCCTTGATTTTTTTGCTTGATCTTTGAGGCATAATGCTTGGACACAGAGCAAAGTATAAGCAGGGTTGGATTTTGGGTTTGACTCTTGTCCTGTCTTGATTTTTTGCTCTTGTTACTATGTAGGTCATCTGAGTAAATACAGTTCTGCAGTGTTTTCCTTTGCTAGCACTAAGTACAAAGTGTTTATAAATACAGGCAAAGAGAACTTCTTGTAAAACATTTTCTAGAAATGAGAGATTCTACATGCAGTTTTTATTAAAGATTGCTTCTCATTCAATTCCTGCTTCTCAAAAGTAGGTTACTAATCAGGTTTCACCTCAGTAAGAGTTGTGCATCTGGTTTAGATTACAGTATCATTTTTCTATAGCAGTGAACAGTCACTTTTTAAAGGTAAGCAGAAATATATAACCAGATTTAACTGATTTCATGGCTTCCACATGTAAGGAAGTTCTTTATATACAGGGAAAATTGGAAACTTTAAGTGTATGGATTATAACTCCACAACAGTCATTCTGGCTGGAAGGGTATGACATGTCTGAAGAGTTATTGTCAGGGCTTTTTCAAGGAATATCTCCAAAATAAAGGAGACTAAATAGAAAGTAGATTGAACAGGTAGGTTCTTAACAGTAGGTTAAGAAATTAATTTTGGCATAAATGAGTTCTTTGTGATTGAGAAATAGATGAACACCTTTTTTTTCCTTGAAAGAACTCTCTCAGAGGACATTTCCAGGAAGAACACACTGTATTGCAGGAATTTTCAGGAGATGCTAGTATGCAAAAATTCTAAATAGTGTTTGAGTATTCTTTTAGCTGAAATGTTCCTTTTTTATTTTACCTCCAACTCTTGGAAGAGACCTCTACACCCTTTCTATCACAGTCTTGTACTGGCAAAATGGATGTAAGAGATTAAAAGTGGAAGAATGAGAAACAGAAATCTTCAGCAAAAGAAAAGAAATTTCGGAGAAAAAGGGAATCTTTATTAACACGCCTTTTAAAATAGGATTTGTGGGTAGATGGATCAGTGTGTTGTTCAAGTTTGTTTTAACATCTCATTCACTGTAGACATTTTCAGCATGGACAAAAAGAAGGCATGGGTAGAAATGTCAGTAATTTCTTAATATCCAATAATACTTCCAGTGTTTTATTCTGCAGCTGCACTGTGACTGAACTTAAAATTCAGGTTTTTTTCATTCAGGGCCAAAAGTCAGATTTTTCTCTTCAAACAGGAAGAGCCATTCACTATAGTGGGCAACTACTTTGTACCTCCAACAACCTGGATATGATTATTTACACACTGAAAACAAATTGATTTCTGAACGGACAGGATTTTATTGTTAATTGTATGTCTGGTGACTGTAGGTATCTTGGCTGAGAAGGAAGTTATTGTCTTTAGGCCACTTAGACAAAGTACCACTGTTAACTTTTGTGACTGTTGTTATTTGTAGATCTTCATATACTTGTTTCATTTACAGTAAAAGACTCAAAGTAAGAGAGAAACTCCAGTTCAGTGTAATTGTTTTAAACACCTCTGTCAATAATGTTAACCAAACTGTGTATTTTGTTTTTTTCAGCCAGTCTATAACAAAAATCTTTGCTTGGCTTTTTCCTGATTATCAGCATTTCATAGATGTAAGGCAAAGCATTTTGGCCAAAAATCTTGGAAGCTTTTTCCATTTCTCTGCAACATCTAAGAATTGATCAATTTTGCAAGTTTAAAAAAAAAAATCTCCAAAATGCACTTTTAAATATTTTAGTAGAGCGGACATTTCCAAGCTGAAGGTTTGAAGATGTTACCTGGCTCAAAATAATAGTATTGAATGAACTAAAATAAATTAAAATAAAATTGTTAATTTATATATGCTGCAAATTAAGTTGATATATAAATATATAAATTAAGAAACATCTATAAAATAAAGAAATTAATTATTAAATAAGAATATTGTGGTGCTAGCAATGTGATTAAGTCCTTAAAATATAGTAAAATTTATTTCCATTTTTTTTCACTGCTAAGCCTAAAAACCAGGAATTTTATTCGTCCTTTGGCCATTGCTCTAAAATATTCAAAATTAAAACTCCATTGCATTAGTGTGCTAGACTTTATCAGCACCAACATTAATAATAAGAATTAAAAAATTGCTTTAAGACAGAGTATGGGAAAAGTATATGGAAATTAAAATATTTACTACATCATAAATAATACTTATTAGACTGCTGTTTTGATGAAAAGGAAAGGTTCTTTCCTTTTAGCCTGACCTTTATTTATGTATGTTCAAGCATTTTGAAATTGTATGAGCCCTTTATATATAAGATATTTAGTAAATGGATTTTTAAGGTTATATTTGTAGTTGTCTGAATTTGTTTCCCACCAATTTTTCCTGAATGAACTACTAAAATGCCTTTGTTTTAAAAATGCATTTATCCAAAGAATGAGAAGTATGCAGCATTCCTATCAAAAACTACAAACAGAAGAAGTGTTCATGAAAATAGACTTCAGAAATGTCTTTTTTTTTCCCCCAAAGGGTATACAAGAGATACATCATTTCTTGCAATGGTGGTGGATATTGTCCAGGAGTTGAAGCAACAGAATTCCAACCTTGTATATGGTAAGGAAGTGCATTATAATCCTTTCTGTTTCATCACTATGTTTTTATTAATTTTATTCATTTTACTGTTTTAGGATGACAACACTGCTGTGATGTTATGCAGCATTTCACAACCATCTTCTCCTCTGATCTGGGGGCTCTCTGAGGCTCCAGTGGTGTTTCATTTCAGCTTTAAGTGTTGAGGGACTTGGCTTTTTATCTTTCTGATTTTATGCCTTTCAGTATGTTTCTTGCATTGTGCTGTCCAAGGGAGAACGTACCTTGAGGTCTGACTGTCTGTATCCAAGAAAGGATAAAAATCCCAGCCAGCTGCTGCTGGTGGTAGTTCAGAGGCTGCATGTGCTGATGGCTGAAGCCTCTCCTTGACTTCCCAGTCAGTCAAAAGCAGGATAGACTCTCCTGTGTTGCCCTGCCATGGCTTCATGTAACATCCCATAAATGTCTTACTTTGCCTTGTAAGCTTCATGATTTACCTTGAACTCCAAAGCTTTTTTTAGCTCTGGTGCCTTCTGCTAAAATATGGGAGCAACAGGCTCTAGCAACTGTCCTCATTAACATGGCATGTCAGGCTTAAACCTGTGGAAATAAAATTCTCCTCTTTCCTTCCTGAATCTCTTTTGGGACTTTTGAACATAACCAGCGTAGGCTTGAATTGAGCAAAATGTTTAGAGTGGCAGGGCAAGGTCAGGGAGGATTTAGTGGGATAAAAAGCTATGAATTATGGTCTTTAGCTGTCATCTTCAGTAAACTTCAGTAAACTGTGTGGTCAGGAAGCATTTAGAAAGATTGGCAGGATTTGCAGGTGTCTACTGCTGATGACTTAAAATTAACAAAGCACGGTGCTCATTTAGCAAAATGTAGCAGAGAGATCTTCACTGGGTTTTGTTGGATTTTTACTCTTTATTAACACTGTTGCATTGTCAGATTCTCCAGAGCCTTGTATGAAAACTAAGGACTGTTGGAATATGAGTAGAAAGGAACATCTGACTGTATAGAAAAGGAAGGAAGAGGTCAGATGTTGAGATCACAGCTAGGCTTCCAAGACCCTTTATATTTAGTAAATAGACTGTAAGGAAATGTAAGGAAATAATTTTAAAATGTAAAACAAATTACCCTCTTTTTATTCATAGAAAAACTTCCTTAAATACTGATTGGATTTGTATTTCTTTTTTATCTTGCTAAAGGCTCTTTTAATATAATGAACAATGTTCCTTTTTGAAGTTCACTGTGGCTATTTCCATGCTCTGAAACTGAGGACACTTGGAATACATTGTTAATGCTGCTGATGATACAGAACCCATCCCAAACACGTTAATATTACTACACCAAATATGAGTTCATGTACTTTGGCATGGATTTTCTTACTGTTTCATTATAATACACTTTTTATTTAATATACACACAGCATTTTGGTGTGTACATTTGGCATGTATTTTTTTACACTAAAGTAGAAATGGGACTCTTTTCAGACCTATTAGCTTCTCCCACTTTTCTTCCCAACTGTACTACCATTCCAGAGTTTAGGGTTGGGGAGTGTTTGTGTTCTCCATAACAAAAGGCCCTTTACTCCCAGCACTCAGATCCTCTCATCCTCATCATCTTCAGACATAACAACGTGGAAGCAGGCAGGAGAGGGTGATCCCAACTTGATAACTGTTTAAGACATGTCCTGCTCTTTCACGATTGGCAGCCACCAGTTACAAATTTCAGGCTGAGTGTGCTGCAAGAGCTGTGAAATTATATAAGCTATGAGATGCTCAGTGCTATTACCTAGAATTTTTCCCTCCAACCAGGGTCTCTATAACTGTACCCCATTTCTAAACCTAAATTTATTCTATTACAGTGTGTGATCCAGTGATGGGTGACAAATGGAATGGAGAAGGCTCTATGGTTAGTATCCATCTGTTTGGATTCTCTGTGCAGTGAATGTTTGTTTTATGAAGATGTGTAAAGGTTTATTAATTTTTAAACACCCAAACTGAGCTACTTTGCCTAAGTGTGGCTTTGAATCCCAGTAAGTAAGTTTGTGCTTTAATTTCTTGTATTTGAATGAGTTTAGTATGTGGGAGGAATGACAGCTGCATAGCCCTGGGATTATTTCAGGCTCTCTGCTGAGACAACAGAGGGAATACAGACCATGTCTGCAGGAAAATATCCTGATACTCTCCCTCCCTGTGTCACTGGAGTTCTCTCATCTTCTGTCAGGACCTCTGTTTTGGCTGGTAGCCTGGCTGGCATTGTCAGCCATCGTGTGAATTGTCACAGCACTGGAACCTAAATGAAGATGAGTTTTTTCGTGTGGGATCCAACAGCTGTTAGGATTGGGCTGTGATCAGTGATGGAAAAGCTCCATGTGCCAATACCAGGCTGCACACTGACAAACATTCATTTTTGATCAAAACTAGCAAATCATTTCAGTAAAAATACAGTGAGGGAGAGTTGCAGTCCCACATTGCAGATCCTGCATTTGACACTGTTTCTTCTTCCCTAGTATGTGCCCAAGGATCTCCTGCCAGTCTACAGGGACAAAGTTGTACCTGTTGCAGATATAATTACTCCTAACCAGTTTGAAGCTGAGTAAGTGCTTATTTCATTTTCTAGCCAAATAAACTTGGGGACAAAAGCAGGGAAGGCCGATACCCCATTATTTTATTTGTCTCACTATAGTGCCTTATGTATGTATGTTTTGGGTTTTGGTTTTTAGCTGTTACTTTCAAGTGGTGCTTTTCAGACAACCTCAAATGTTCCATACTGAAATCAATAAAAAATCTGGAAGTTATGTGAGGAAAACATTCTTCTTGTTTTCTCCAGTCTCTCATTTTCATGATTACTTCTTGTTATCCCCAGAGGCCTGTATCTAGGGCAGGTTGAAAAAATACCTTCCCCATCCTTACCCATTACTGTGGAAACTTTTATTGTATGTTAGAATATCAAAACTGAGATAGTTGGGTTCAACCCCCCAAAACTAGGTTCAGAAATACCACCATGTCAACATCTCATAGGAGCTAAGAATTTAAATGCCTGCTGCTTGTCCTGTCTACATAGGACTGTGACGCTTTGGTCAGGAGATAATCTGTTGTGATACATCACAGGCTGTCCCCTGAGGGGAGGGAGCAGCTACATGGGAGATGGAGAGAAGACACTTGTAAGGGAATTTTTGTGGTACAGGGATCTCTAGAGGAGGCAGGTTAGGGCTGGTGTGAGTCCTCTGCAGAAGCACTGTGTGTCTGTGCACGTAACCTTTAAAGACAGCGGTCTGGTCCAGCAGACCGTGAAGCTACAGAAGGTTTAGGCCTGTTTGGTGCAGTCCAAGCTTTTCTCCTTTCAAAGGATAAACAGAGCAGTCACTGCCTGGAGAACTTGAGCTCTTCTAAGATTTCTGTTTCATTCTCAGGTTACTCACGGGCAGGAAGATTTACACCGAAAAAGATGCTTTAGAGGTAAGTAGGGAAAGGGCAGGGTGTGTAAGATCTCTTTCTGCATTCCTGCCTGCAGTGCTGCAGTTTGCAGTTTGTCTTTAACCTTGAAGTCACTTTGGCCTCCATCCTTTCTTTCTGTATATCAAAAAAGTTCATGCACTCCAGGCATAAAACATGTCCTATTTTAGTGTCAGACTTCGACAGAAACTTCCAGAAAGAGCTACAGCTAAAGCCATTACCTTGGTAATGAGTAGATCTCTGTGAGGTTGCTTTCCTGCAGTGTAAGAAGAGAGGCAGCAGCACATGTGGCAAGTACCCAGACACTTGTCACTGCTGTAGAAATGCTTTGTTTGGGGTGAAAACCTCGGGTGACCCTGGGCATCAGGAACCTGCTCAGGTCTCTCTTTTTGCTGTCCACGTGTGAGTCATGCAGCAGCAAGGCTGAGTGTGAGGACAGCTTTTCCTCCTTCTCCCAGACAAATCCACAGCATTGACAGCTGCTGTCATTGCCATAGAGAGATGATAGATGGCCTGCAAATATATTGCATCGAGGTGTAAAGATTTACCCTTTCATACAAACTGAAGAAAATAAAAAGCTGCAGGGTTTGGTGGTGAAGGACAAAATAGGAATGTGGTTTTATTGATGTCTTGAGAAGGTCTGAGCTCTTTGTTTTGTTGACTAGTCAAGTGCTTTCATAATGGACTGATGTTATTCCTCCCAGTTTGGTTTTGAACTTCAAAAGAACACAAAATCTCTAAACAAACAGCAGCTGCAGTGGCACCCTGGAGAGTAGCTGGGGGTCTGTCAGCCCAAATGTTTGTTGTTTTTTTGCTGTAGCGACGTCAGACAACATGGGTTGCTTACCATTGATTCACTGCAGGAAGCATCTAAAAAGATCTCAGCTGTTTTATTTTCCCCCCCCCCCCCCCCCAAGTTTTACAACCCCAGTTTTACATCACCCCACTGTGCTGGGTGAGGGTGATGAGCTGTGCTTTATGCCACTAACTGCAACTCAGTTCTTCCATTCTCATCCTCACCAGTGGAACCACGGCCTTGAGGAGAACACAATTAGCTGGGCAGCCATTGTTTTTAGATTTACATGTTTCAGCTGCAAACACAAGTTGCATGTGCTGAACAGTTGTGCAAGTTAGTTTTCTGACTGTTTGGTGTGATAGCATTTGTTTGTGATGGGGTTTAAAAAAATCTCTTCCGAAGAGGTGGAATTATATTTAGGAATGAAAGCATTTTTAAAATAGTTGCTTGCAGGATATTATATTTTAATCTGTCTGTCTCCCCAGCTGCATATCGTATATAGTCTGTCCTTCTGAGTAATAATCCATGCTGGAATTTGCCCCCTTTTGAGGTGGTAGGAATTCTGGCATCAACTTCCATGGTGATATGCTTTCATTTCTTCAACAAGACTAGTGATGACAGTATAGTCATCTAACATAAAATTAAATATGATGTAATATTAATGTAGAAGGGACTAAGTCCTATGACTAGAAATAGTGGAGATTAGGTTCTTGGTGAATTGTGACTGAGAAATGAAATTTAGTTTAATACTATTTCACAGTTTGATTATGTCAGTGTATGCTGGTGGATTTATTGCTTCTTTAAAACCCAACTGATGTCTGTGCAAAGAGGTCTGACAGTTGAAGAAACCTGGAGGCTTAGACAAGAAAGAAAAGCAATAGAGAATTAAAAAATAGCAGAAATAAATCCGTCTGCTCATGAGTCATAGCTAGCCTGAGAGGATTTTTAGTTAAACTCTGCTGGGAGAATTAATATTTTATCTGTGTTTTATGCTAAACTCATTACTGAAGTCATTCTTTCTTCTGTGAAATCAAAATCACTTCTTTCTGTAGTAACCAATTATGATGTCAGAAGTAGGGTATTTATGAGTTTAAGGAACACACAGAGTGAAAATACACATGCAAAGGTATGTAATTTGGAAGTGTAATTTGGAGGTTGAAACAGAATGAGAAAGGAATATTGAGACAGACACACTTGAACCTCTGATTTGACTTTTTAATGTTTTGTTAACTCTTAAAGCGGTACCTAAATAAGATTTCAGGGCCTGGATTTGTTGGCTTTCTAACAGGTGTTTCAAGATGCCAGCTCAGGTGAACATGTCTGTGTATTTGTTCTCCTGTTCTTTTGATAATACGTTCTGAAAACGTGATACAGGCAAAAAATCTGATCACAGCTGAAACAGAGTGTTCTTTTCAGAGGAGCATCCAAAGATAACACAAACAGAGACGCTTGTTTATTTTAACAAGTGTGTACATTTAAGTGTGGATGTTTTGATTCCCCTATATCAAAGTAATGCCTCTAATTCAAGTGAGTTATTTGAGCAGAAACTGTTTTTTCTCTTTACAAAACATGCCAAGATAAGGTCAAAAATCCTAAGTATGATGCAAAGTTTATGCAACACATACTGCAGTCACTGATTCCTGCCTTTTTGTACATGGAAAGGTAATGGATATGCTCCATGCCATGGGACCAGAGACTGTGGTGATCACAAGCTCAGATCTACAGGCACCTCTGGGAAATGACTACTTAATTGCTCTGGGAAGCCACAGAAAAAGTAAGTCATGAACCCCTCCCTTGACTGTACTTTCTTTTAACTTGTCTCTTGATGAAGCAGTTTCACCACACCCATCTGTAGTGCATGGAAGGACCATAGATCCCTAAGGGAACAGCTTTTCCTACAGTGATATCAAGGAGTGGTAAGACTGGGGCTGCTCCATGAGGGAAGAAAAGCTGGGAGCTGAGTGTGATCACAGCACAGGCAGAACACCCACAAGACTCAGACCCACTGTATCTGAATAAGGTGAGCAGGACAGGTCCCACTGAGAGGCCAGTGGTCATCAGAGGAAGGTGAGACAAGCCAGGTCTGAGATTAATCTGGAAAATCCAATCATTAAGTCAGGACAGCAGGGCTGAACACAGGAATACCTGCAACAGAGCTCAGGCAAGAGTGCTTGTACCCAGGCCTGAGCTTCTCTGCAGCTCCTGGGCAGAGGGTGCAGGGTGGGGTATGTCCTGGGTGAGTTTTATCAGGCCTCTTACAGCCCCTAGTAGTGCCCTGAGAGTAGTGGTGATATAAAACAGGAACTTGGAATGTTTTGAATACTTTTCTGAAAAGTTACAGTGTACTGTTAGCAGACTGTTCCTCCCCTGATAGGTTATAAAATATCCTTCTGTTCCTTCTTTATATTGCCCTTTATTCCATCACCAAGATTCACTGTGTCTCAGACTGTCACACAGTGTTTCCACCTGAGAAGGGTACAGTTTTGAGGAATGAAAAATGAAGGTGCTATCTACCTCCTCCCTCTTAAATGAAGTATGTAGAGTATATAAGTTGTAAATGCTACCCCAAGTTGGCCAAGTTTTTGAAGGTTGTGCCTTTTAAAACCCCTCTCTTTTAAAGTACAAAGTTTACAATACTCCTTAGCAGCTTTACATTCCAAACTACAGAAGAATTCAAATCTGATGATCACTTTTAAAATTATTTCTTTTTAAATTCTAGTAAATGCTATTGTGGTAGTTGCTGGGTCTGTTACTTAACTGTCTGTTTGTGTTATAGCTAAAGCAGATGGTACCAGGATAACACAAAGAATTCGAATGGAGTCTCCTAAAGTGGATGCTGTCTTTGTTGGAACAGGAGACCTGTTTGCTGCTATGCTTCTGGCATGGACACACAAGCATCCAAACAATTTGAAGGTGTGGGAGAAGTTACTCATCTCTCTGCAAGTTTAGACCATGTTTCTTCTGGGTTTTTTATGACTTTTAATCTATGACATTGTTTAAAGACTGTCTTCTGTTTTGGCTTTTTTTCCTCACCTCAGAGGAAAAAAACCCAGAATTTCCCTTTTGCCAAAAGGAGCATTGAACAGTTACATTTGCATTTCAGTTGGATTGATTTTGTAATTTTTCCAAATAAGATGTTGTTCTCTCTAGAGAGAGAGACTGCATGCATGTTTGTAATTACATTTTTTTATCCTCATGTCATAATAAGCCCTGAAGACAATTTCTCAGATCTATTTTTCTGTTCCTTTCCCTTAAGTACATAAAGTCCTCGATATGGGTATATGGTTTCTCATACCTGTTTTGGGAGAATTAGCTCAGTTGGTTAGAGAATTAAGTCAAAAACTTTTTTCCCCCAAACTCTATATTACATGGTTGTCATCCTGCTTGTGTCATCAGTCATGTTTGCCTTTTAATAGCCGTGTTTTTGAAATAATAGTAACATTAAACTAGGCAGCTGAAGTTTTACTAAAACCTGAATATGTTATGTTGATGCAGGTGGCATGTGAAAAGACTGTGTCAGCCATGCAGCATGTTCTGCAGAGGACCATTAAGAGTGCAAAAGGTAATTAATTCAGACCTTGTTCCCGTGTTCTGTCTGCATTTGCATCAGAAGAAACATTCAAAGAGCTTTGTGGGTTTCCTGACTAAAGGCAGCTCTCAGTGCAGAGGCAGCCAGAGAATTTACAGGATGAGAGCTTGTTAGTCTTGTCTGCATGTTCCTGACTGTGTCCTCCAAGCTATCTTTGACAACAGCTGACTGAAGATGTCACTGTTTAGCTTGTAGTGGGACCACAGTCGTGCTGACTGTGCTTGACTCAGCTCTGCAAAACAGAGGCAGAAGAACATGAGGAAATGCCGAGTTTGATGTGCAAAAGGGCTTCTGCTTTAAGTGTAGCTCACTCACTTTCCCCTTGAGTGTGTGTTTAGTATTGAGAGGGGTTTATCAGCAAATAATAATTTCTTTGCTGGGTTGGCCATGTGAGGAGTGATTTTTTTCAGCTTCTGTCCCCTTGGACTTCCCATGTCTTTCAGTTCTAAGGAGATCCAGATGGGATCTCTGGGTTCTCAGAGCATGTCTGTGTGACTTTCTAATTAACAGCAGAGCGGTATTTTTTGCCTGGAGAGAGGTGCTGAACAAGGATTATAGAAAATCACAGTGCTGACCTGGATCTTGTACCTTGGAAGCCTTTAGCAGGGGGTTGTAAGGGAGACTGGGGAGGGGAAGGGGGGAAGGTAGAGAAAATCGTGGGATAACAGAAAAATGCAACTTGTTTCTTTTTATATTTCTGTTTTTAATGACATTCTGATGTCATCTTTTTAGCACAAGCTGGAGAAGGAAACAAACCAAACTCAGCCCAGCTGGAACTGAGAATGGTCCAAAGCAAAAAGGACATAGAAAACCCAGAGATCATAGTGAAAGCCACCGTGTTATAAAGGCTGTACGTCTCCAATAACGCACAATGTATTGATGTCCTCATTTCTTTCCTGTAAATTGTAATATTTGCCTTAGATCTGTGACAGAAACCTGACTTTCATGAAATAGTGCCCAGCATAGGCAGATATCCACTCTCAAACATATGTGCTGGCCTTGCTCAGTTTAAAAAACAAAACAGTTAGTGTGCATTTGAGCATATTCCAGGTATCCAAATGGCTGTCGGATTCACTTAGTCTGCGTAATGACCCAGGGCAGGAGAGAACAATGTTCCTGCCTTGCTGAAGACTTTAGATGTGAATTTGCTAATGGAATGCTTGACTGACTGGAAAATGTATTTCAGGATGGCCCCTAGTGCCAATGGAGCTGGCTCCATGCTCCCTTTTCCTGGAGATACCTGGTTACCTGCTCAGGTATTCAGTATCTCAGCTGCTATGAGACTAAGCAGGGTTAAAGCTACACACAAAGTTCTGGTTGTGTGTAGGAGTACTTTGAAGATGTTTGGCATGTTCAGTACTCTGAAGTGACCTTGAGGTGTCATTCATGTTGCTGATTTCTGCTCCTGCTTCTGGCCTGTGAACAGCTGCACAGTTTGGGACTGGCTGCTTATTTCTAATGTCCGTGGGTGCCCACATGATTTTCTTCCAAAAGCTGCTCCAGAAACACCTTCATTAATAAGATAATACTTTTTTATTCAGTAGCATTGGTTAGGAGTTTGTAGTTCTACCTCCAAGGTCAGGTTTGATTCTCTGTTTTTTAACTAAGGACAAACATTCTGTTAAGGACAAAGGAGAAAGCAGCTCTTACTCTGAAAGGTGGCTGCCCTGGTTTGTACTTAAAAACTACATAGAGCACTTCCACAGTAGTAAGCACTGTAGACAGGCTTATCAATGAAGCAGTGTGGGAAAAGTATTATTTTTGTTTTAGTAAGTTACATGTGTTTACCAAATGCAGCAAAACATAGAAAATTATCTTGTTCATAATGTAACTCTCTGCAGCCAATTAGAGATCACAGAAATGCATTGTTATTAGTAATGCATCTTAATTTCAAAATTCTTCTTCATAAAGCTTCAAAATGGAATTTTTTAATAATTTCAGTGTCCAATACATCACAGCCACATCCTGAACCACTGGGACAGACATGCAGACGAGATCTGTATGGGACCCATGTTCTTGATGTCCCAAGATGAGGGAGGTCTGGTCTGCTGTTCACATTCAGTTGATGAGCTTTGTTTGTCTCAGACTGCATAAAGGGATTAAAATTGCATTTCTGATTGCAGGAACATGAAGAAAACTTGCATTAGAGGAAAATTTTTCTTGATTACCCAAATAGGCTGAGGAAACTCACTCTTGGGTATCTCCCAGATACCTTTCCCTTATCTTCCTCCTCACACCTGCCTAACCAATAAGTCTTCACTTATCCCATCATTGTCATGAATTTCTGCCATTGTAAAAGTTAATTGTTTTCACCTAGTAGAAGACTATTTTATTCTTGATGTAAATTTTTAGCTGAATAGGTTTTCTTTAATAGAATAGTTATCATAATTATTAAGTTTCTGAAATCCCTAATTTTTAATATCTTTGAAGCAAATGAAATTTAAGAGGAACGTGTTTTGCAGTAAATATAAGAGCCAAACTTCAGGCTTTCACTCTCAACAACCAATATTAATTTTATTTCCTCTCGTGCATTTGACATAAAAATGGAAAAAAAAATCATATGACTCGAGAATTTTAAGGAAAAAACCACCAACAGAAATTATCTACAAAATGTGACTCTACTGCCACTGTTTTTAGTAATCACTGTAATGAAATAACTTTCTAGCAATAATAATTTTGGTGGTGTGAACAGTTGCTGAAATTAGCAGTCATTAACAGAGGTGTGAGCTCCTGGCTGATGTGCAACATGTAAAAATATATGAACTTCATTAACAGTGTGTATAAATATTGATGGGAAGCAGTGAAGAGGGAGCCAGGCTCTTCTCAGTGGTGCCCAACAAAGGGATAACAGGCAATGGGCACAAACTGAAATTCAGGAAAATCCATTTAAAATGTTAAAAAAACCATAATTGACTGTGAGGGTGATCAAACACTGGCACGGGTTGCCCAGAGAAGTGGTGGAGTCTCCATCCTTGGAGATACTCAAATGCTGACTGAACACGGCCCTGAGCAACCTGCTGCACTTGGACCAGATGGTCTCCAGAGGTCCCTTCCAACCTCAGCCATCCTGTCATTCTGTGAAGCACAACAAACTGCCTTTCTTTGCAGTGCTGTGTTTTTAAATTGATGCAAATATATTTTTTTTCTCCCTACCACACACATGCTTCCAGATAGGCCAGGAAATAGCTGATATTTTAATATTTTGCCCCCTTCTCAGATAAGCTGCTGCTTGCTTGGGCAGTTGTGCCAGGAAGACAGTTAATTTTTTTGAGATAATTGCTTTCAGCAAAGATATTTAAATACTGTAGCTAGTGGTGCATTTCAACAGTTGAACATTAAAAGGATTTTAACTGTTTCTAACATTGATTAACCAAGTGTTGTGTGCCATATTCCAGACATAACTATGAGTTTATTTATCTTTTAAAATCAGACTATTTCATGTGGAAGTGTATAATCCCTACCATCCTCTTGGGAAGAAGGGATCAACATACTGAACTTTCCCTACCTGTACATACAATGGTCGATGCCCTTTTAGTAAGTGTGGGACAGCAGGAATTTCTTTTGCCACTAGAATAAATAGACCTTTACAAAAGGATTGAGAGAAAAACAAGGGCTGTTTCCCTGAAATAAAAAAGCCTAGAATTCAGAAAATTTAAAGCTACCTTGCAAACAGGGTTTTAATTGTAAACCATAATGAACAGTGATCTTGCCATAAAAGAGAAGGTGATATGTTTGTTGGAGCAGGTTATGTCTGTCAGGTGTGGTCTTTTCCCACTGCTTCAAAGAATGGATCAGTTTGGTAATTCACACCTTCCTTAGAATCTGTGACATATCCATGCTAACAACAACAACAAAAGAATATTAATACTAATATGCTCAATTTGCAAAATTCCTATTTCACAGTAGGTAGATCCTGTAGCAGTAGGCTGCTGGCTTCATCTGCTTAAGAGTCCCTGGGGGTTGCTCATGTGATATGTTTTAAACTCCTGCTGACCTGGCCTAAATTAGGTCAGGTTTATGTCTTCACCGAAGAATTGGGCTTAACATCTCTTGCCAGGAACAAACATCAGAAACTATCTGTAAATATAATCTGTAGCTAACATTTTGTAGCCACAGCAGGCTAAGTTATTTTTAAATGCCAAGGTATACATACTTAATACTTGGATGCATTTTTATTTGTTCAGAGTTGCACAGAGCCTGTGTGCAGAACAGAATTTCAGACTCAGCTCAGTCCTGTGTTTTATTCCCTCCTCCTGCATATAATACCTCTGTCTTTTTCTGAGTTCCTGCTGTCTGTCTGGTGCAGCTGGAAAGTGTCTCAGTATCAGACAGCTGCCCACTATTTATTTGAGGGCTTGGAGGAGACTTTTCAGGGTTGTGTGATCCACTTGCAAACCTTTAGTTAAAGATAAATGGTTAATCTAAACTAGCCTAGCTCCTAACTGATTACAGAACAAGCACTTTAGCCCAGAGATTGAAGTCTATAACCAATGGATAATCTTCCATGACCGTCCTAAGAGCATGAAAGGTGTCTGTAGCCCAGAGTGCAGCACTCAGCAGTTCGGGACCGGTGACTTCATGTGTCCGTGTGAGGTCAGTGGCACAGGACATCCCTCATGCTGCAGTACCTGTGGGCATGGGAGAGGTGAATGCTTTGTGTTTGCATCCAGTCAACTCCTTTCGTTCTGCTTACTGGAACTAATTTTGTGATGGGTCCCCCTTTTTTTTCTGGAATGGTTCACAGTGCATGTGCTCAGCCATTTGATTACTCCAAGCCACTCACTCGTTGGCGGAGCCATCGTGCAGGAAAGACCAAAAAGTTGTTTACAAAACCATCTACTCAATATTTCAGGCTCGGATTAGTCTCTACAGGAAAATCCCCATATCTTTGGGAGGCGTGCATAAAGACATTGTGCTAAAATCAGTGTTGTTCCCACTCGTACAAACATCTAAGAAATCTGCAGTATGAATTGTTGATGTTTGTTTGCTGATTTTTATCATAAGAGGGGAGAATTCTATAATTAATGTGTTAAGCAAAAGAATCAGAGGACCAAGGTTTCCAGCTACTCATACTGCCTTTTGAGTATCTTAACTGTGTCTTGATTGGATGGTGTTAATTTGTTGTCTGAGACTGTTATGGTGATTGTATTGATTGACTTTACTTTAAAATACGTGGCAAGGAAGATTGTAATAAAAGCATCTACGTTTAATATTCTGTGCACACACAAATCGTTAGATCCTGTTTTTAAATATGTTAATCATTTTAGAATCAAACAGCACAAGAATGGTTTTATAGTCTTGCTGAATAAAGTGGATGTAATTAAATATTTCCTTAGTTATGTCCTAGTATAGAGGAAGGGTAGTTAATGGAAGAGCACACATTTGTGCCCTGTAATCATCTTACTGTAAGATATGGATGTGGAAGTGAGTAACATCCTTGTTGTCTTATTTTTTATTTTTTTTAAAGTTTCATGGGAAGACAACTACTGGCATTCTGCACGACTCTCTTGCATTCCTTTTACTTGTATATGTAGGAACTTATTGTGTTGTGCTCAAACAAGGTGAAAAGAGGGGCTTGCAGTAAGAACCATAACTCATTTTGAGATCTGTTTCTTGTACAGAATGTAGCTTCACTCCCCTTCACTGAATTTTTACCTCACTATGTGGATTAGAACATACAGGACTATACAGTGGGAAACAGTTGTTCCTCATGTGGGAAAAAGTACTTCTGCCAGCACTCAGCAGTGTCCCTGCAAGAGGGAGAGAGCAGGGATCCAGGTTAGTGAGAACACTGGTCATTGGAGAAGGTGCTGTGTCATTACATTTAGCTCCACTGGAGAATTTTGTTTTATACTAAAGAACCACCCCT